CTTAAGGCACTATGCAAAATATTCAATTGCTCTTCTCCAGTTAAGCTTGGTATTACGAATTCCTTTTCTACCTGTTCGACTTCCGTCATAGCTTGGATCAGATCTTCATCGGTAAACTGGTGGTGTGCTTCTCGTTCTTCTTTAAGGTTTAGTAAATCTTCAATTGATAGTGGATTCCGAACAGGTAATATGTCTATTTGCTGCTAAAGTTCTTTAACTATTAATTTATCATTTGGATCAGGAGGTAGGTTTTCTTCCATATCATCAATGCTTTCAACAATAGCATGGGGGGCGACAAGTACTCCGTTTTCATCACAAGGAGATACAACTTTTGTGCAGAACTAACATCTCCTAATCATTTCAGGAGATACTTTATTTCAGGCAATCTTTGTCCATTTTATAACTTGCAATTAGTGATGATACGAGTCAGTAAAAATTTATTTGTACTTTTTTTTTTTTTTTTAACAATTTTAATCTTAAATTAAAAAAAAAAAAAAAAAAAAATTCAAAATAAATCTACTGATTTCCAGCTTGACCAAATAATCACTTTCTATCATATTACTACCTACAATTGATCGACTTTATATATGTCTTTCTCCCTGTCTTCGTCATGATCAATTGCATGTTGAAGTTGTAAATAACGATAATGAAGTTTAAATGATGCAATTATACCGGCATCCATGGGTTGGATTTTTGATGTTGCATGTGGAGGTAACATAAGTACTTTTATATTAGTCAAGTTGAGGGAACCAGTAATATGTGAGGGGGCACCATTAAGGATAAGTAAAATGTGACAGTTTGATTCTCTCATTTCTTCATCCAATTTTTCTATCCATTCTAAAAAAAACATGGTGGTCATCTATGCTTTTTTATTATTACAGTAATAGAATCCAAGTTCTTTATCCATTTTTTTTTTGAAACATTTAGGTCTTTTAGAATGTCTAATAATGAAAGGTTGAAGTTTATGGGTGCTATCTGCATTAGCCGTAAATGTGATCGTAATTCTTGAACAATCTTTTTTTGATCCTTCAAATAGTGTTATAAATCAAAAAAAAAATGTAAATGATTAGTTAGTTTTTTTTTTTTTTTAAAAAAAAAAAAAAAAACTAATTAAGAATCGATTATTATTAACTAACCGATGAATCGTTTAATCGATTCATCAATAAGTTAACCAATTGATCTTTTAGTTAATTGTTAGAGTCTGTTATCATACGATGGGTTATATAGTATGAAATAATGTGTTATACAAATTGGTTAAAAAATCAAATTTAATTTAACAACACTTAATTAATTAGTTAATTGATTAATCAGTTAGCTGGTTAATCAATTAATAGTTGGCTCATATTCTTTAATCGATAAACCAACTAATCGATTTTGATTCATATCACTACCTTTAATCTGATGAGATGCAATTGTACGGTCAGGAGCTATAGCAAAGAACAAGCCTGTCTTGTCCATATTGTAAACATCACAAAGAGAATACTGGTTAGTAGTATTAATAATATTAGGAAGATTTATGTTTATGACAGCAATATCAGCGGAACCACTCTCGCCATGCAACTTGAAGTAGTGAAAATTATGCCTTTCTTGAAAAGCCTGCAACTACCTATTTGAAAATTCAGGCTGATTATTTTCAGGAATTTGCATCAGGTTTGCTAATCTTTTTTCCTTAGCCTTAATCATATCTCCATTTAAACGTATGGCCCTATGTTCACATTGTAAGACCCAGTTCGCCAAGACAGTGTCTAGCTTGGGAAATATAATAATGTGACATCTCTTAACTTCAAGGTCATTTGAAGGCATTTTATTAAATTCATCCTTCCTTTTTAAGATGTCAGAAATTGTATTTTGGCCTAGAGCTTTTACTAGCTTGAACTCATTTTTGGCCCACTCTGCGAGTTCTTTCTGAATAAGTGTTGGATTTTTTAGATGATGATCACATATCATTTTCCTTTGATCATTACGCAAATTTTAGCTAAAAGGACCTTGTCTTTTTTTTTCCCATTACGATGACAGATTTTACGTGTACAATTGAATAAAAAAAGTTTACAGAAAAATGATTCTTTATACGATATTAGCTTTATGACGTTAATACCAAGAAACAGGATTTTAAATTAAACTGATAAGATTTTTTATTATTATTATTATTTTTTTTTTTTTATTTACAGTCTTTATAAATAT